TTTGGCTCTCTCTTCTGAATTAAGGTGATCTGTGCGAATTCCATTATAGTAAAAAATATCAGTTTCGTAATTTGATGCCACAAAATTATTTAGATCAATTTGTTCTATTTCTTCTCTATTAAATGGTTCCACTTCAATTGGTCGTGAAAGATCTAATATAATTGGCTGACATGTATTGTTCAAGATTGTCGTTAAAGCGTATCCATTTTTTGCAATGCTTAGGGAGTTCGGAATCTCGCAATTATGCATTTTCTGATATGGAATTATAACTTCGCCATCATGTATGCTGGTTGTAATTTTCACAAGCTGTTCGGTACGTGGTGAGAGAGTGATATTATATACTTGGTTTATGTTCGTTCTTTGGAATTGTAACTTGATTTTTGCAAATGGAGTTACTAAGAATCCTGTTTCATAGTTTATGCTAGCTTATAACATTTTTAGATTATCAAGTCCTATAAGGCCGTCAAAGATGTTATGAAATTTAAATAAATAAAATTTCAAAGGTTTCCTATTAGGTAGATTAAAAATTTTTGAAGCGGGAATTTGAGCACTGTATTAATGTGCTGATTGTTGGAAAACAGTTGAAACGATGAATGGCTCATAGCTTATGTGATTTGGAAAGAATTTTTGAGCTAAGTCGGGGTCTATGAACGACTTGGTGGAGCCACTATCTATGAGAAATTTGAGATTGCATTCAGGAAAGACGATATAGGACAGCTCACTTGCGTTAACGTTATTGAATGAAATTATTTCAGGTTCTAGGGTGCAGGGTTGGTTGACTGAATTTCCTGAAAATTTGAATGTTCCCAAGAACCAGCTGTGTCGTATTCTACGAGTTCAGTGGTTTGGAATTCATTATTTGAATCGTTATAATTATCGGAATAATTGTAACTTTGTTGAGGATCAACTTCGGTCTCATAATAATATGATTCTTGATCATTTTCGGTGTAAGAAAGGTCAGTGACGTTCGTCGTATTTGTATTATATAGTTCTTCTGAAATAAAGTTACGTGGTTGCGTAACTTGGAAATAATTATTACCAGAAGTTTGTGGTGCATTGGTAGCAGAATAGGTTTGTCTTAATGTCTTGTCGTTGTAGACATTGGGGTAGGTCTAGGAAAATTTTTGTTTTGACCTGGTTTAAATGCATTTATCTGATTTTTATTTTTGAAGACCTGTGAGTTAGTTGGGAATTTTTGTTGTATTTTATTATAATCAGGTCTCACATGAATAGGTTGAGATGGAAATTTTTGTTGAGTGAACGTGTTATTTGGTGTATTAGCATTAAATGTGTTGGAATTATTGTATCTTTGTTGTGTATTTTGTTTGAAGTGCTGTGAGGGATGTTTTTGTTGAGTTTTAGCTATATTCTGAAAATATTGTGTATTATATTCCTGTGTGACAAACTGTAAAACTTCGGGAAGGTCTTTGGGACGCATACACCTAATTGTTGTTCCCAATGGTTCCCTTAAGCCTGATAAGAAAGTTTTAAGGGCAAGATCATTGTATAAATTTCGCTTTAAATTTTTCGCATTTTGATCAACTTCATGACTATTTACATAAGAACAAAGCAGGTTTAAAATATGCATAACCCTGTCATAATATTGACTAGGCTTTTCTGAGTTTTGTTGTCTCAACATTACGAGATCTCTGTTTAAACATGCCTCGTCTCCTTGATCTGCGAAATGCCTGCTCAAAGTTAGTTTCAAATTATCCCAAGTAGTAACATTTTCAGTACCTAGGATCAATTTTGCGTTCCCAGTTAGTTTTCCGATGATGCAATTTATCAAGTAAATATTTTGAAAATGGTTTGGTTGATTTGCATCATAGAAATTATCAATTAAACTTTGGCATACTGCCAAATATCTATTCAAATCGTTAGGGTTACCATCGAATTGTGGTACGCAATTCAAGTACTCAGGTTTAAATTGAGCCATATTGTTAATTGTATTAATATTATTTAAAATTAAATTATTTTGATTATTAGTGCTTGTATCAGTAACTGCAGCACTGTTATTTAATGTTTGATTAATATTTCTTATAAACTCTTCTGTATCAGAAGGTGAGTCAGTTGAAGGTAGAGATAGAGATAATAATATTTCTGTTAATTCATCAATATCAGACATTAAAGAAATTACAAATTGCACATTGCACTTACATGAAGATTATTCCGTAGAGCAACATTTATAAGGCCAAGAATTTCTGGTAGGCTATGTTTATCCTTCCAAATTAATCCTGGTCTCGCGAATATTGGCTATTTTGGTCCAATAATCCGATTGCTTGAAGGCAGTTCTTTGGTTTTCGATTTCGTAAAGCCACTCCGACACTTCTCGCAAACACTTAACACGATTTTCACACAAGGGTGTAGATTCGAGTTCCCGGTTAGTCCGATTTCCGAAAAGTTCGTAAACCAGTTCCAAAAACAAAAAATCCGGACGACTGCGCCAGTTATCAATACGTAGGCCGATAACAAGTTTTTAAAAAACAATAAATTACAATAGAGAAATACTTTCGCGTTCGCGTTACAAAGTTTCAAATAAGAAATATAATTACAATTCAACTGACTAACTAGGTATTCTAGGCGGGCAGCGATATTTATAATAAAGAAAAGCGAATTAAGCAGTTTATATGAATGGTCAGCAAATAGAGCTGACATTACTCGTATGAACAAATAAACGATCTGAAAATATTTGAAACTTCGTTGAATAGAAAAAAAAGATTTAATAAAAAAACCTACAAAGTATCTAAAAACAGTGATAATTATTGTGTTTATTTATTACCTACTCTTCATTTTTATGTTGGCAAACATGAAATATTATGAATGTAACACTAATATTTATCCATTGTCTATTAATCAAAACGTTATCTTATAAAACAATGATGTTACATATTTTTATCATTAATTACTATTGATTTATTTACATAGCTACTTTGACGTCAATTTTTTTTACATTTCCAACAACCAATTTCCATAGATTTCCACAATCTAAATCAATTTTTTGTGCATATTATGTAGGTATTTCCACCAACCAAATCAAAAACTTAATTACCATATTAAGCGATCCTCAATGTCACATAATAAATCGTATTTCATTTTTGCCAATATTATTTGTCATTGACCGAGTTTTTTTTTATTTTGGCACGCGAATATCTATAATTAATAAATTCCCAGTGACCTAATTTATTGATAAGCGTTTATTGAACACGCAAATCGTTTTAAAGAATTCTTGATTTTGATTTATTATTATAGCCTTCCGGCTTAATTATACCTTAGTACGTATATTGGTTTTGAGGGTGTATATGAGATTTAAACTAGAAGAAATTATAATTTTTTGGGAATTTGTAGGAAATTTTGGTTTCACCAGTAAGTATGGACTTTATAATATTTCAAGGGATCTTGAAATAATCCCAATTTTAGTCAGAGGCTGTAGAACATGCCGGCTAATCTCAATATATTCATCCTTTTGAAAACTTTCAGTTTTCAGTTTTAAGTTTTAAGAATTTTTAGTAATGAATCTTCGAAGGATAAACAATAAAGTCTTTCAAATCTTCATTTCACATTCCCAAAAACCAAACTTCCAGAATCTTCGAAATCTTCATTTTCAAAGTGTTTTGAAACCTCAATCTACAATCTGGGAAAAACAAACCAATTATCAGAAGAATTTTTTGTCTCAGAGGACTTATGTTTTAATAAATCAACAGACAAACAGAGTCTTCGATTTAGAATACCTACATCTACAATATTCAAAAATAAGTTTTCAGAATTAAATCTTTAGACTCTTTTAGCCTTATGAGACAATTAGAATCTTCCAATTTCCTTGAATCTTTAGAATCTCCGAGTCCTCAAAAAACTACATTCCTGAAAAATAAATCTTCAAAGCTATAGGGATATTTAAGTTCTAAAAGCAGTAGAATCTTTTGAGCATTTGTCCGGTATGAGCTGTTCAAAATTGGTTTCCCGTGTGCCTTTTTGGTATGCAAGCAAGCGGTTTTTTTAAAATTAAAATTTCTATCGTAAAGAATAACCAAGTCCAGTCGGAACGCCGGCTTATGTGTCAAAGGTGTACGGGAAAATAAGATCAAATGATTTTTTGAGCGGTTTCAAAGGCATTTTATTACGCCGTTACAATTTGTTCCACTTTAATTTTACTTTAATTTCATGTTTGACATAAAATATACAAAATCATGATTACTGCTAACATTTTGCAAAATTACATGCTTTCACATAACTTTTTTCATGCTTTTTAATCCGGACTCTAGTTATCAGCCTTGAGACGTATTTTCAAAGTCTTCCTAACTTGATCAAAAGTAATTTGGTTCGTTAATAGGTTATAGGATGGAACATTACATTTTGTTTTATAAATTAAATTTGCTAGATTTCTTCGTGGGTCGGTTGATTTGACGATTTTTTTCCCAATCGCCATTAACAATAAGTAATTAATTTACACTAAGAATGTCCAACTATTTGAACCTACCAACACAAACATTGGTCTGGAGTTGCTTAACCGATTTCTGAGGCTTGAAAAAGTATACATGAATATACGAAACGTCGCCGTAAAATAAGTGGTTTCTTTCCTCCTTCCTATAATCCATTAACAAACCAAATAACAATGATGAAGATTAAAAGTAATTTTGTTAATTATTGAAACAATTCTACAAAAAAAAATATGAGATTTTACAATACAATTGAAAATTTAATAAAGAGCCATTCGGTATATGACTTAATTTCTTTATTAATTTATATATTTGTTCACTCCAATCAAATCTCCTATATCTACCTACAGCTAAATTCAAAATAAGTAAAGTGACTATTATAGGCAAAGAAAGTTGTGTTATATAAAAATGTTTGAAAATAGTCGAGTGGATATACCGAAGTGAAAGCTCATTAAATTAAATTAAGTATGTGCATAGAATAAATATTAAAAATTAATTAATATGATGTCCAAGAATGCGTTAATCAAATCGAATCCAAATTACATTTTGATTTCTTATTCTTTTCAGATTCGACAAATGATAGTGATCTAGATGTTGAAGGAACAGACGAGGTGGGTATCAAAGTTGATTTTCCACAGAAAAATCAGATACTTTTTCAATGAAAAATCAATCAATTTACAGATAATTAGTATTGATTTTAATAAGTATTGTAGAAATATGCTCGATGACCCAATCAAGGACCGGAAATAACTGAAAGTTGAAGTGTTTGATTGAATAAAATTCAAATTAAGATCATTGTTAGGTGAACATTAGAGGATTTATATTTTAAAAATAATTCGATAGATTAAATCAAATTAAACTATGATCTAATGAAAAACATGAAATAGACAAAAAAAATTCTCCTTTCCTTATAAACTCTAAATTAATTGAAATTGCCTTGCGATGAGCACGTTTTGTGAATTTTAATTACGAATAAAACTGATCTGATCTGATGATTTTGTGTAATAAACAATTATCGAAAAAGACTCAGAAGTGCAAAATGAGTCAAAAATGAGTTTCAAGAATGTTCTAGGCTTAAGCAAAGTATCAGAAGAAGTTCAATATGAACCGGAACCATCACCAACAGCAATAAGAGTTTTCTGATCTTAGTAGAAATTGCCAATACTTTGATACTTACCCATTCGATTAAAGAATTTTTAAGTGAATTAACCAACTTTCAAAAACTCAGAAATTCTTATTACATAAGATAAAACAGTTACCTAACTGTTCACTGACCTCTCATTAAACAATTTTTCACCTCTAGTGTGACTGATTTTGTATGTTTCGATGTCTTTTTGAAAAAAATCAAACCTCCTAAAAAAAACAAATAATTTCACTCACCCCAGCTCCTTGAGAAGGTTAATTAGTGTATAAATTAGCTTTTTGAGGACCTGTGGCACCAATTAGATTCAAAATTCTGTAAAAAGTAATTTTCCAGACAGCATACAACATCTTAAAGACGTCTTTTTCAAGTCTGAATTACGTCTGAAGACCAATAAAAGACGTCTGAAAATGTCCATAAGATATCGTAAATTCACATCTATTTGGTACAACCGCAGGCTTAAAAGAGAATAATGATTTATGTATTGAAAAAAGATTCAAAGACGCCTTAAGTCGTCTTTAAAATGTCTTAGTCCTATAGACGAATTCAGGCAGACGTCTGAAAGACTTCAAGATGTCTTAAAAACACCTTGAAGACCTAAACAAGACGTATTGAATAGTGAATTTATAGATTGCTGTAGAACTTTAGACCGAAACTGTTCAAATCCAAATCAAGAGCATTTTGGGAATAATTTAGAAACTTTTATAGTCATTTTAGAACAATATTAGGATTCAATTTAGGACTGGAAACCATTTAGAACTCTTTTGAACCAATTTAGACCACTTTGGAGTATCAAATAAGGGCTCTAAAATACTTGAAAATCTGACGGAACAATTTAGAAATTACTGAAATTGCTTCTAAAATGCTTCAGAACTCTTCAAGACAAGTTGGAACACTTTAGAACTTCAATAAGCCATTTAGATCGTTTCAAAATACTTCCCAGTAGGATTTTGAAAGGCTTCAGAACCATTTGAAAATCTCAGAGTTATTTCAGTGAGCCTAGCGCCAGGAATAGACAAACATTGAAAGTTATAAAATGAGTGATAATGAGGAAATATCCCAGTAAACAGATCTGTTAAATTTACGTAAAGTTTCTATAAAGAGATAATTTTTTTTAAAGCAGTCTCATGTCAAGTTTATGTAAATTTGTCAATTGTGTGTGTATAACTTTGTTAAGCACTTAGTTATAAAATAAAGCAGCTTTACGACGTTCTAATATGATGCTCTATTAAGTAGATCTATTACAATATTCTGTACATAATAATTATTATAACAATTGACTACTTGTTCATGTCACCAAGGATGTCTAATCACAAACACATTGATAATAATAATAGTTACTAACTACAAATGTTCATACAAATAGGTAGATGAAACACAATTAACAATATTATAATAATACCATATTATACATCTTCACTTAAAAGTTTAGTTTTTCTGGTTTTTTAATAGTTTGTCCAAATCTAGTAGTTTGAACATTTTTATTCAATAAATGGGATTCAACTGTTTGTGAGGGAACATGCATTTTTGGTGTTATAGTATGTTTAGGAAAGTCAGCAAATTATTTCTAGGTACAATTGAAGAGGATGAAACATCACTATCAGTAGAATGAGAAATATCAGTTGCAGAATCAAGTGAATTATCAGTTAACTTGAAAGGTTTTTCCGATGACTTAATATCAATGCGATTTCTTCTGATAGTATTGCCTCTACAGTCTCGTAAAATGTATGATCTTGGACTCTCATGCAAATTCTCAACCTTTGCCGGTTCCCAAATTTTATTCCTGTGATTCAACACAGTAACATTTGAGCCCTTTTTAATTGGTTTCAAACTTTTAGTATTTTTGTTATAATTCTGTTCATTTACCTTTCGTTTAGCAAGTATTTTTTTTTAATATCAACACACAACTCAGGGTACAATAAATCACAAGCAATTGGAACTTTAGTCTTACAATTTCCACTGTTTAACAACTGAGATGGTGAATAGCCTATGCCTTTTAATGTAGAATTTCTGTAATTTAAAAGAGCACTGCATATATCACCTTTCCCTTCCTCCAAAGATTTTTTTAGAAGGTTTTTGGCAATTGATACAGTTTTTTCAGCCAATCCATTCGATTGTGGATATTCTGGACTACGTGTGACAAGAATAAAATTCCAATTTTTAGCAAATTTTAAAAAAATTTCACTATTGTAAGGTACATTATCACTAACAAAAATATCAGGGGCCCCAAACCTTGCAAATATTGGTTTAATTTGAGAAATAACAGCTTCAACACTTTTATTTCTTATAGGCAAAATCTCAAGCCAATTAGAATATGCATCAAATAAAACACAATAACTTTTATCAGCATATGTAAAAATGTCTGAACCAACACGTTTCCATGGCCTCTCAGGTATTGGATATGAAAGAAGGTTTTGCTTTGGATTTTCTCTTGAAAATTTTTCACAAATTCTGCAGTTTTTATTGTATGATTCAATATCTGCTGTAATTCCTGGCCAATAAAATACTTTTCTGGCATTTGATTTTGTCTTCTCAATCCCTAGGTGGCCCTCATGTAAAAGTTTAATCATTTCTAATCTTAGGCTAAAAGGAACAATTAACTTATTCTCCAGAAATAACAAATTTTCAGATACAAACAATTTTTCTCTCAGCTTGTAAAAATTCCTAATATTTTCTGGAACTTTGTATTTCTGAAGTGGCCAACCATTATTAATAAACTTCATGACAGTACTTAACTTTGGGTCTTTAATAGTTTCAACAGCAAATTGTTTAATTCGATTTGTGGACATGGGCAAAGATCGAATTACAGAATGTATGTACAGCAAAATCAATTTCATTTTTTGACTTTTAATTTTTTTTCTTAAGAAAAGCACGAGAGAGTGTGTCAGAAATGTACATATACTTTGTGAAAAAATCTGACCCAAAAATTGAACACTATCCTTTTTGAACTGAATTTTCTTTTTGTTGCACTTTAGATTGTGTTCAGAAGCCTTATCTAATACGCACTTAAGGTTTTGGTCATGTTCAGCCTCAGTAGCACCTGTTACTATCAAATCGTCAAAATATAATCCCACTCTTGGGATGTCACCAAAAATTTCACAATTTTTTTTTTGAAAAACCTCAGGGGCTGAACAAATTCCAAAAGGTAATCTCTTAAACTTATAACGACCAAACGGAGTACCAAATGTCATTAAATCTGAACTTACTCATTATCCAATTCAACCTGAAAATAACCATCTTTCATATCAAGCACAGTAAAAAATTTTTTGTTAATTTGATAGCAATATCATCATATGATGGAATTAGGAAGCGTTCTCGTTGTATAGCTTGATTCAAGTCTTTTGGATCAAGACAAAGTCGAAGGTCACCATCTGGTTTTTCAACTATAACCAGAGGGTGTACCCACTCTGAAGGTTTATCAACTTTTTCGATTATCGGTGAGTTCGGCTATTCAGCGCGGAGTTGGAGTGGAGTGAACAGAGCTAATGGAGTCACCCCTGATACCGTAAAAAGCAATACCCGAACCTTAACCCGAACGGCTGGAGTGCGAATGGAGTCACTCCGAGTGCACGGAATGAGCAAGCCGAACTCACCCTATGTCCTTGGACACAAGATCATATAACTTTTTTTTCAAGGGTTCTAACAAAATGTAAGACACTCTCCTAATAGCATTTATTTTTGGTTTTATGTCTGACTTCAAAGTTATATGATGTTGTGTCTTTCTTTGAACTTCTTAACTCTACACTCTAGCATAACTTCACCTAAACAATTTAATTTGAAATTCGGATCACCATATGACATCAAAGTAATATTTGCCTTGCGAATAGACAAATCTGGGGCAATTTAATTCAAAACATTCAAGGGTAATGTGCTTACCTCGGCTCCGGTGTCTAACTTGAATGTTACAGGCTTACCATTGATCCATACCTCCTGTACTGTTTTCGATTTTTCTTCTAACTCTATCAATAGAACTCACATAAAACTCATAGTCACTTCCAGCTTCACTAGTTGACTGAGAACTGTCTTCTTCTTTGGACACACAATGGACTTTTCTCTTGAAAAATTTACTTTTATTAAAATCATTTTTATCTGGACATACCTTAGCAAAATGGTCACGATCCTGGCATTTTGCACATGTTTTTTCAGTAGCAGGGCACCTATTTCCAAACCTCTGGTTATAACCACAATTCTTACACAGCTTATTAGGGTCTTTACTAGAAGTGTCCCTCAAACCTGAGACAATTCTATCTCTTATCATCTCATCTTGATTGGAATATTCAGTTGTTTTGACTGCCTTTATCAGCTCAGTCAAGAAGCTATTAAAAGATTGCCCTTCTTTTTGCAATATAGTATTAAATTTTGCCCTTTCAAAAATAACATTTTTTTGGGGAGCACAATGATCTTCAAATTTCTTAATTATATCTGTCAAAATCTTGTCTTTACCTGCCTCAAATAAAAAACTGTTAAACA